TAAATATCTTACTAAAAATAATAAAAAAACAAAATCTAAAGACACTATACTTAATCAGATCTCACCAAGCCGTCTCTGCCTTAGTAAGGAGACAAATCTTTTGAATATCTGAGTGTGCTTTCATCAAAAGCTCAGGTAATGACTTCAGACAGCGCTGTAAACAACAGTAACAATTTTGGAGCGACTGGCCGCTCCTGTGTTTAACGTCACCTCACACATAAGTCTTTCCACACGCACACATGCAAAGCACTTGCCACAGAGGGCCACAGTAATATCCTGGAGAAACCTCAAGCAATGTGTGATTATTTGGAGAAAAAGTGGATATTCATCTCGCTGAAAGAACGGAGACTTTCTCGATGTCATATATTATTTATAGGGCCATTTTATGGAGGAATTAAATCATTTTGCAAAGGCGGAAATACATTGCACAAAGCACATATCCTAGAGCTATAATATATCAAAAAGCAATTCAAGGAAAAACTTGAACAATCATTAAATTCTAGGCATTGCTTACTGCATGTGTGTATGGTAAGCACTGCTAGGGACCTTCGAAGTATTTATTACTTTCCTCTAACTTGCGTATGTTCTTCATAACTCATATTCTCTTTTGTTGAAACTTCGTCTTCGTTGTTAAGGAGACTAAATTTCTTATTATATACATCTAGATGCTTGTATCTTCTGTCACTTTCTTGTGACTGTAGCCTTCAGCCAGGAGATGGCTTCCAAAGTCTGTCGGACGTCTTGACCCTGAATCATGAAGTCCTCCAGTTGGCGGCTTGGTGGTGATGGCCGGTCACTGGCCATCTTCTCCCGACTTCCATCTCAAGTCCTCTCGCCTATTACAAAGCCAACAAGAGGCTCTCTAAGCCATCGGCCACCACCTGTGAACAGCTGTCTTGGTTTCTCTTCCCGCTAATCCCAAAGCTGAGAGCGTTCTCCGCTCAGGCTGTGCTGGGAAACCCCTTAAACCAAACCTCAACCAGGAATAGTCGGACCTGCCACCCTTTGTCCCTACATTGTTGGAGGAGGTCTTGGTACTTAGCGGCTTTCCGTCCTGAGCCTTCCTGTGAACCGCCTTCCCACGGGACCTCCAGTTACATCAGGATAATCCTCTTAGTCTCCGCAGACCTTTTGACCATATCGAGCCTCAGGGCTGTCTGGACACCCTGGGGGAAAATGAACTTCATTCTCAGGCCCACCCTCATCTCCCACGATTGCGCCACCTGCTGGAGGCTCTTGGGAGAAACCGCAGGGAGGAGCATTCACACTCCACACTTAAGATGAGCCAAATGAGGTACTTATATATTAAGGTGAATAAGAACCTGGATAGCCAAGTGGGAACCAAACCAAAAGGTTTTGATTGCAAGTCCACCAGAGATTGTTTGACTCTGCGGCACCTTATCGCACAGCCGGCCGAGAGAAGCGACATTTCATGGTGGCCATGTGGGGCATCGTACACAAATGTCTGTGCCCATAATCCTCATTTGGTGAGATGACAATAAATAATCTTGTCCCCTTGGATACCGATGATCTGATGCCCCCCCCCCTACCCGCTACACAAACGCACTCACACTATTTTACTCCTTTTCCCTAGCTAGATAAATAATGAATAAGGCCAAATGACATACTGCTCAATGTTAGCATGAAATGTCCATGTTACATGGAAAAAAAACGTAAATCCTTAACTAAAAACAGATTGGGCCATGAATAACTTGTCTTTCTACTGGTGACCAATGGGGAGCCCTTATATTTTTCCAAAGCCTCATTTTTTTTCAAAGCCTCTTTGAATGCCTCCAAGGTTATGGCAATCACCAGGCCTATTCACACTTTGGCTGGCATCAGAGGATGGAGATCGATGGAACCAATTCTTCTCCTTTCCTATCAGATCCAGGGCAGCCAAAACTGTTCCCCGTTCATGACTTTCCCCCACGCCGCGTGCGTCTGCAGGAAACAGACACAGGTAAGATCGCAGGCTGACCAACAATGGCCTCAATGTGGGTGGAACAGTTCTGGCATTAAATCCTCCCCAGGAGGAGAGGAAAATCATCACATCCTATTATAAACACACAACCCACTTCCAGCTACACTTGCCGCCTGATAGCCTGCATTTTGTAAACATCATTTAAATAATAGATCTATGACAAAGGCAAAACAATGAACTTTTTTTGTCATTTTGCAGATGTTTTTGGTTCCGGTTGGAAAGGATAATTCAGAAACCTTTGACAGTAAACGGCAGGCAGAGTGATTACGTATCTCTGAGCTTCTCTTTTGTTACAGCAAACTGAGCATAAAAGATACACATTTAGATAATTGCTCTGAGAGACTTGAATGACTTGAAAATCAGGAAACATTCGCAATTATTTTCCACTCTCCCTCATACATTTCAGTCAATTTCCAAATGCACTCTTGGTTTTCAGAGAAACATTTGTATCAAACTAGCCTATTCACAAACTTCAAAATGAATGCCATCAATTTAATTTGGTTCACAACTGTGCGGCCCATTTTCTGTTTTAATAATGTGCATTTCTATTCTTCACTAAAATGCTTCCTTTCTGGCTTGACTCCTTCCTTTAATAAGTTCTCTTCATCTCTGAAGGCATGAAGACCATCAGCCCCCAGTCGCTCTGGGGCCTGGATCTTGCACGCTGGCTGACCCTGTACTGTCATCTCTAAACTTGCTCTCACCTGCATGTGTCTCTGTGTCTTATGGAGGGCAGGATTGGGTAGGCGAAAAGACAATTTCTCCATGGGCATTAATAACGTATCATTATTCTATTCTATTTGTATTTACATTGTATCCAGATTAATCTCATGAAATACAACGTTTTATTTCAATAGCAGCCCTACTGGAGAAAAATGTAGGCAACACAGACAGTATTGTTCAACTTTTTAAGGAGTCAGACATGCATTCTATTTACTTTTTTGCGTCAAATCTCTCATTTCTTTATGATTTCTAGGTCCTTTTCTTCTCAGTAAAAAGAAACGCACCAAAATTATGCTAGATTACGGGTGCGGAACGCGATAGTTGAGATGTTATTGGGCATCAAAAACAAACAAACAAAAAAAATGTTGAGCACTACATTTTTTAATGTCAGCTACGTTAAAATGATTAAGTGTTCTGGAGAAAAGATGCAGTATCTTAAAGCAGCAGCATCTCCAGCTGGCGACCCGAGACTGACACTGTCGGCTAACATGATGAATCTTTCATGGATGTTATGTAGATGCCTTCACACTGCAGTATATTGCTGCCCTCCTAAACAGCTTGATACGGTGTGTTTAAGTATAACTTGTTTTTTTCTTTCACACTGTGCATCCAGAAAGCTGTACAATTATTAGGAAAAGGAGGAGAGTCATTTAAAAACAGCATATCTTCCAAGCAGTTTCACACCAACTTTGCTCCTCTGTAGAGATTAAATAATACAGGCCCATGTCCTTCAGCTACCCTCAGCATTGGCATCCAGGCAGCCTGGATGAGAGGTTTCCAGATTGGTACTCTGCCCATCAATGCGAATGACAAACCCAATTACTGTCAGCGCAGTTACGGTGCAGCCACACCCCCTAATGAATTGGCTGTCCGTCAAATGGCAAACGATCCAAATCGCCATCTGAACTGCCTCTCTGAGGTTGGCCCATTACAATTCCCAGCCAGGGTCACGCACACTGAAGCCTGCTGACAGGCTCTTACTTCCACCAATGAGATGACAAAGAAAATCAGCCGGAGGCGGGGCTTGGCTGTGAATGGACAGGGTTTAATAGCGTTTGCCAGCAGAAAGACAGGACGAGGCGTTCCGTCTCCCATCTGCTCCTATTGTATTGAAATGTCAAACAAAGCAGTGGGATGTGAGTCTGCGCTCCGCAATTTTTGGGGTGAAATGGAACGCGCCATTCAACGAGTCCTGCGGGGGGGGGGGGATGGAGGCACGGTGAGGGCGCAAATTGGGTGTAACCAGGTTAATGACACTTGCAGAGCTCCGAATTCTCGTGAAACGTGACACCCAACCTGGTTGTAATTACAGGAATCGGTCCCGTTGTCTCCACTAATGCAACGTCAGGTTTCAATCGGATTTTTAATCTGAAGCCGTAATTGCCGATTATCAGACCATTACAAAATTTTTATGAATCATTTTAATGCTGCCTTTTCCCCGCCCTCTTTCCCTATTAAACCTTTAGGGGTTTAATTTAACCATCGCTGGAACAATTAGCAAACCCCAGAGGAGCGGTGCAAACGAGCAAACAAAACGGTGCACCTGTGACACCTGACATGCGTTAAAGTGAATTCAGCTAACGGAGCAATTCACGCACCCACCCGTGCGTTTCTTCATTTCCCCTGAAAAGTCTACTCTGTTTTATTAAACAATAATATTCAGCAGCATGGGGTGGCACTGTGGTGCAGTGCTTAGCACTGTTTCACACCCACGGGACCAGGGTTCGAGTTTCTGCCCCACCTCTACTTGTGTGACGTTTGCTTGTTCATCCTTAGTCATTGTTCTTGTTCCAGTTCTCAGATTTTCCCCCACAGTCCAAAAACATGCTAAGTTGTATTAGAGTTGCCAGGCTGACTGTAGATGTGAATGGTGTGTGTGCCCCAACCTGGGTTATTTGGCTCTGGACCCCCACGACCATGCATAGGACAAGTGGGTACAGAAGATGGATGGATGGATTCAAATATTTCACCTTTGCCAACATGGACATAGTAGACAGGGGATAAAGACCCACTAATATGGAGACCATACATGCAATTAAATGCACATATGTTCCATCACATATGCATTCATAGATCCACTCATCAAAACATTCCCGTGTTACCCTACTTTGATTTTTTTTATATGTTTAGCAGAAGTAATGGAATTATTATATCTCATGTCTTTAATATAATGTGCCTGACATCCCTAAAAATGTACCTTATTGAATTTTCATCGTAATTGTCCAAAAGCTCATGTTCCGCATTGATTCCATTATCCCCCCCCGTTCCCAAAAACCGGAATAGCCTCACGCAGTACCATGCAGCCCGTGGAGTCGACGCGCCGGTCCGACACACACTTGAAGTTCTTCCGGCAGCCGCCGTTGTCCTTGGAGCAGTCGCGGACCGGGCCAAACGACGACAGCACGTCGTCGATCGTCTCGAAGTAGGTAGACGCGATGGCTTCTTGCCTGGAGAAAGCAGAGACGGAAGCAGAGAGCACTGAGAGCTGTGCTGAGCGTGGGTCACAGGGTCACAGCTGCACGCCTTCCCTCATCCTATTTTCATTAGAAATACCAGGTGTGTAAGGTCCCACTTACATCCCCTCTGATGCTCTCTTCCAGGCTGGTTATTAGAACCATTCACATCATGCAAGGGTCCAACTGCAGACACCTCCTGAGAGTATTAACCTACTGCGGCCCACATCTTGCTTAAGAACACAGGAAGCAAAACTCGTATTTGCTCAGGGTGTTAACCTCATTTAAGTAGTGAATAAAATTTACCAAAAAAGGCAAAAAAAAAAAAAAAAAATTAGGACAGAAAAAAAACACCCAATTAAAAAAGAAAAAAAAAAAGGATGTAACTGCTTTTCCAGTTTTGGAAGCAACTCGCTAATTCAGGAGAGAAAGAGAAGGAGAGGGAATGAGAGACAGAGAACGATTTAGAAATAAAATGGAGAGACCGATGGAGAGAGCGAGAGATGAAATGCAAATGGCATCTGTCACCCAGCCTGGAAGCGATATATCCAGGAAGACGCTGGTGTTTACACGGTTTAAAAAAAAAAAATCAGAAGGGTGACGAGAGGTTAACTGCTCATCAGGTGCCTGATGGGCTGCAGCCGTCTGACGTGGGGCAGGTCTGTGATACAGGGGTAGGGACAGGACCCTTTTGGGGGGCAGGGCTATTTTCGAAGTGGGCCCCAGCATGCCTGCTGGCTGGTGGGGAGGGTATGCCCATAGTGCGTGGGGGGGGTATGTGTCTGCTGGTGCATATCCTGGACGGGCATCCAGAAAGACTCCAGACAAGATTGAACATGATCTCCTGCGACGGGGGGCCAGGGAGTTGGCAGCGCCCCCCCAACCCCACCCCCTGCCTTGATGGTGGGCCTCACGGCGACAGATCGTCACACAGGTGACTGAACGGTTCATGGGAAATTAACAAGCCATTAAATCTGCAATGCATGCAATTAAAGCGTTGCCAGATGCGATGGCAGAGGGGTACGGGGTAGAGGGGCTCGCCGGATAGGTACGCCACAGGAAACACACCACGCAGCCCTAAAATGCTCCTGTGGACCATCCCACGCGGTGCACTGCACTTGCAAAAAAAACACAATTTAATACATTCGTCTCCCAAGAGTCCAACTCCAGGCTGGTTGACCTCCAGGTAGGGAATTGATTATTAGTTTGTTTGCCAGGAGGACGAGACCCTAGGTGACGGAGACAGCGGCAGGCTTTTGTTTTGGTAGCCAAAAAGACGAGAGCCCTCTGAAAACCCTTCCCTGCTTTATAAGGCCTCAAACACATGCTTCACCTTTTAAACACCTTTAAAAACTCTGCGCGATAGAGCCTTATTTACATAACATGACGGCTTGGGAGCTGGGAGACAGCCTAATCGCCTAATATCTGTAATCGCAAGGAGACAGCAGATTGCTACGGCTAAGCCGAGTTAGAAGAGAACTGTTCAATAATCTGCCGGTAAACACTTAGGAAAGAAAGAGTTTTTTTCCCTCCGCTAAAGCCCACTGGGCTGGGGGGTTTCTCTCTGAAAACTCTCTGAATCCTTTAGTCAACTGATGTAATCCTAATGACTGTCCACAAGCCCCTCATTTTAGCCATTTTTTATTTCTCCGCTCTCTCAGGACGCACTAAAGATTTGCCCGGGTCGCGTGTGGGGCCCATGCAGGGATATAAGAGGCATGCGGAGATACCGATGGGCATTCAACGGAGACAGATGAGCGATGAAGGTTAACCCAGTGGCACACACATGAATGCACAAACATGCACGCGTGTGGACCAAGGGGAACGGTGCAAATTCCCACGCGTCAAACATGCCCGTCTACCGTCTGAAAATGGTGGTATATTTATATGCCCAGAAAGGAGGGGAAAAAGAGATGGATGATTTCGAATGTGACCCCTGGCGAACAGGATGAGGAAAAGAGAGGAAGAGACGGATGACTTTGTGTCAAGCGTGGTTTGCCTCAGGAGAGGCACGCTGAGGATATCTGGCGTAATGGATGAATCCAGCAGGTTGTTGATGGCATCCACCCGAACTCAGGACAGTGACCGATCTTCGGGATCGGGGGTTATGGGGAACAGGGGTCAGAGGTCGGTGACACAGCCAGCACGATGGAGGTCCCCATGCTGGTGTCGATATGTCTCGCTACAGGAGACGTGGTCAAACAAGAGGGGTGACAATGACGTCTGGGTGGGAAGCCAGAGGAGATGCCACCTTTAATCAATGGGTGACACATCTGAAAGCCACATCTCTTCAGCAACAGTGACAGATCTTTTTAGCTAAACTAAAAGACACACCGCCCTGTCAGTCGACATCTTTAGAGTGTGCAAACCGATCCCGTCCAAACGCTTAAGGAGGCGGGTCCATCGGGAAACGGATTCTCCTTTCCATTTCAATATTCCGCGGAGTTAATCCAATGATCATTTATTAAGAGAGGATCTAGCGGAGTGGGAGGGTGTGTGTTGGTGGTGAAGCCATCCATGGATGAACTCACGGTAGGTCGTGTTTCGGGCTAATTGAAGAGCCGGCTCAGCTCGGCGGAGCGGGCGCTGAGGGACCCGGCTTGGTGATGCTCTCCATCCATTAACTTTTATGGCTAATAAAAAGCGGTGGAATTGACTCCTGGTTACAGCACGGCAAAGCTTTATGGGGGGGTTTGGGGGGGTAGAAAAAAAAAACAAAGACAAAACAGGATAAAAAAGACGTGCTTTTTACTGTGCCAGTGGTCTATTATACCAAAGCCCAGCATTAACAAGGTGACTCTTAAGTGCCTTTGTGAAGTGCACTTTCAGGCGAGACGTGAAGTCAACAGGAACGGCGAGGCCCGCTGCATCGAGATGCGTTGAGAAAATCCACAAAAAACGCAGAAGACTCGATCCTGCCTGTTGTTTCAACCTCTTGGCAGTCCTCAGTGCTCATATGAAGGAGTATATTCCACACAAGCAACAATATTAAAAGTCGGAAACTGCGGTCGTGATTTACTCCTTTGTTGAGAGGAGCTCGGGCGCCAGTGCCCGTTGCCACGGTAACTGTATCCATCGTAGTGTGTAATCAGGGTCCATTCTTCAGGTTGCGTTCACTCTCGCAGCCTTCATTTCAATGGTGACTCGATTTGCTGTAATTTGTCAAATGCAACGCGGTGTGAGTTTGGGGGGTTATATCCACGTGTGAGGAAAAGTGGGTGTGGCAGCGAGCAAAACTGTTTTAGCATGCTGCATTATCGTACAGCATTCTTAGGGTATTTCACTGATGAGATGTGATTAACTACAATGAACCTGAAACATTTGACTGCAAAACTCTCCAATTAGTCTTTCTGAAGCGTAATTAAATGTTCAAAAAGTGTTGGTATCTGTAACACCGTATGATTTTCATAGCTACGTAATATTTCATGGCATAAATTGTTAAATTACTACTATTTGTAATTTACAACAAAATCCTTGGTTATGCCTGCAATCATATTCCAATGCAGCACATGATCAGGTCATACCCAGAACTGGAATCCTACCCACACTACACACGAGTCGAGGCCTGCAATCTATACATCTCAAGAAATGCACAAACTTTAAATCTGCCTGAGGTGTGTGTATTTATACACCTTTATAACACAGAACATTTTGCTGATCCTCATATGCACAACGTATGCACTACATGCAAAGCATGTCAACATTTAAATTTATTGATTAAGCAGATACTTTGGTCCATATAAGAGACATATAAGCGAGGAAAGTTTGGGGTGAGAGTGCAGCGCCAGTCAGCAGCCCTGAAGCAGCTGGGCTTAAGGACCTCATTTGAAAGTCCAAAGGTGATATCATTGCTCTAGCAGCTGAGGGTGAACCCCTGACCTTCTGGACAAAGGCACAGATCACTAACCCGCCAAGTGAAACACTAGGGCAGGGGCAAGCGACCCTGATCCTGCAGTGTCGGTATCCAGCAGGTTTTATATTCTACCTGATACGTTACTATCTGCCTGAGATCAGGTGTGGTTCATCAGAGTCCAGGTAGGATGTAAAACCTGCTGGTTATTGACGCTCAAGGATCAGGGTCGCTTATTCCTGCACAAGGATATGGTAATTCTGTGATTTCTGTGCATGTGATTCTGTTAGGTGTCCTCACATAATGTGTCGGGTCATGTACTGCTAGGAGCATAAACAGATCACAGCATTTAGCTCCGCCTCTTTACAGTGATGCTGAAGCATGTGTGAGTGATACTTAAGTATTAAAGACAGGATAGCATAGCACGGTGCAGTCCACCACGCTCTTGACAGATGGACGCTCATGATGGTCTAAGTACCTGCATCCAGGAGTAAAGACGTCCAGTCAGGGCCCCACTTTGAACCACGGACTGAAGTTCAGGGCTGATATGCTGCCATAAGGCTTTAGAACTTCATTCCAGGGTGTCTCCGAGGATGACTGTGTGTGTGCACTCTCTGCACGCCCCTAAGCAGATGGCAGCAAGTGAGCCGCTGGAGGTCAGCTTGGGGAGAATGAGGATGTCAAACCTCCGACCAAGCCACTGCAAACCTGAGCATCAGGAATGTAGGGATGAGAGATTCAACCATGACAGGAAACTGTCATGGACTGAAAGAACTTCTTGAGGGCGAGTGTTAAGGCAGGTCTAGTCCTCTTTAGGGGGTTTCATCCTGTTGCATGTCAGTTTGCTGTGTTTGGTGCCCCACTCATTCCCCCCATTGCAGTGACTGTTTGTGGCTGACAGATGTGTTGTTTGAGTGGAGGTAAACACTGCCACACCGAAACCCTAACAGAAGGCAGTGGGCTGGATTTCCATTCCTATATATGGTACCTCCAGTGCGTCAGGGCCCTTGATGTCCATCTTTTTTCTGTCTCGCATAAGTTGATAATGTTAGGCGCGGGTTTGGCCGGAGCCTCTAACATATTTTATACGACAAATCGGTGGAGGAAAGCTAACTAAAAATGTACAAAAAAGTAACTCCAAGTT